GTGTTGAATTGATATTGCTTAGCTAATTCTGATTGCTAGGGATAGGGGATGATTGTTCATGTTTAACGTGTATCTCTCGGGCTTGAATTGTTCGTTCTTATGTGCGTTGTTTTGATGAGGAATTGATGAATTTGTATTCGATAGATTGATATAATCGAAAAGTGACATTTCGATCTTGCTATTGGTGACAGTTGGATGTTAATTTGTCGAGTTATGGCTTGTCAATTCTATATGATTAGTTGATTAATCACCTTCTAATTGACTTAGCGGCTTTCAGAACCGAAAGGGGAGAAGTCGTAGAAATAGGCTCACATGAGGTAGATGATTTCGTAATTGAATAGTCTATAGATTTTTTGTTGAAATACGTGCGAGTCGATGACCCGTCCCTTGTTACGAAAAGTTATTGGGATTGGGATAGTTGGCATGTATTGTATGCTTGAGCTTGTACGTCTATGTTTCATCCCTTGTTACGAAGAGTTATTGGGAGTGAACCGCTAGATTTCTAAGCGGGAGTGTCAATCTCGAACCGAACAATTAATTGCCCAGTTTTGCTAGAACTTGAATTAATTATCCCCGACTCCCTAGCTTATTTTTCATTGTTTTGTTCGTATTTCTTAAGTAGATTATTATTTTTATGTTATTTCTTAGTTGGTAATTATTCCTCCCATATTTGATTAGAATGTTTAGGATTTATTTTGCTTTTATGTGCTATCAATATCAAAGCTAAATTTCGAAGAGTCTTCCTCGAGAGATCGACCCGGGAAACGAATCATTCGATTCGGTGCTCGGTAAAAATAAAATAATTTGTGCTACAACAGCTTACACAACACGCAACGCTTTTTACGCTAAGCAGTATAAAGATCAAAACGCAATGCATTACGCTATGCACAATTTAAAACACTTGGTTAAAATATTTTAGAATAAAAATTTAGTTAAATAATTTAGCAAAATAAATAAGTTGTTAAATTGAAAAGAAAAATATGGGTCGACCAAGTGGATGTTGAGCTTTCCTTTAAAAAACTTTGGGTGCACATGTGAATAATAGCCAATGATATAACACACAGTGGTCGTGTAGTGCTATTGCAGAAGTTGGTCATGGTGTCGCCGTTGAGTTTCGCTTGGTGTGGTTGTCCGACTGAGGGTAGGACTTTAGTCCATGGTTATTGTGTTTGTGTTCGAGTGTTTTTTTTTTTTTGTGTTTCAATTGTTGTTTTTTTTCTCTTTTCTTTTTGTTTAGTGTTATTATTCAATTGAGAACTACATTCTCCTGTTGGCAGATAAGTATTATCGTGGATGCATTGTATTGTTTAAGTTTCATTCGGGCAGATTAGAGAACAATAGGTCGAAATTTTAAAATACAAAAATAAAAAACACTACACCTCATAAGCGTGATTGGACCGATGAAGTTATTTTATTTTCAATCATCACACTTATCGGTTTTGATTGGTTTTGACCGATCAAGTTATTTTATTTTCAATCATCACACTTATGGGGTGATTGGTAAACATTCATAATCGATCAATTTTTTACACATATTAATTCAAAATATAAATCAACTCCATTATGTTCAATATAATCAATATTATTAAATAATACTCCCAATCATCTTTCTCCTACATCACATCAACGTTAATTCACTCTTCATCCGCTTGCATATTGTTAATTACTTATCACTTTCATTATTTTCTCATATACTTTTACATCACATAAACTTTAATCATTACATCTTACATATTATTTAGTTACAATCTCTCTCATCTCACTCAATCAATTTTATTTAAATAACTCACTCTAAATTTTATTTAAAATAACTCAATTTAACTCATCATCCATTCAAAATATATTTTTAATGATTGTGATTACTTACCAATCACCCACTTAAAATCAACTCAACTCAATTCTTATACTTTTTTATAACTATAATTAAATAATATTAATCAATCATCCTCAGATATAATATCAACAATAATTCATCATCTATACACTTACATAATTTTAACTACATATCACTTTCAATAATCTCTTTCCTATTTTACCTCACATCAATTTTAATAATTATAATTGAAATATTGTTCAATTACACACCAAAAATCATCCACTCAATCAACTTTATTTAAAATAATTCAATTTAGAAACCCAAATTGGACCATAACCAGTGGATTCATATCCAATCACGCCCTAAGAACATGAGATTTTCAATCAAAGTATCACTCACTTGTAACCAATTACTTTTTTAAACTCAAAATCTAACTCAAATTTAACACAACTCAATTTTCTTCAATATTATCAATATAATTAAATAATATCAATCAATCATACTCACACACGTCACATTAACTTTAATTCAGTAATCATACTCATATGATTCTAATTAGTCACAAGTTTCAATCACATCTCTCATACTTTTACATCAAATCAGTTTAATTATTTTAATATAAATATTATTTTAAAACAAATCAAAGTTCCACTTAAACCTATTCCAACTAACTATTTCAAAATTAACTCTAGTTAAAAGAAAAAAGAAAAAACAATCACAACCGAAGTATCCAAGTAAAAAACTTATATCCGATCTACGGTTTTGTTATGATGTCAACAGTTGACTCCATAGTTGAGCTAACCTTCTATATACAACAAGTAAACCTACCATATTCACTGATTACTTAAATAACACTGATACAATTTTATCAATATGGAAAATTTATTTATCGTATATAGAAAGTTGGCTCCACCATAGAGTCAACTGTTGACTTCAAGCAGAACCGATCCAATCTACCCCTGGTATTTGAATATAAATGAAGAATTCCAAATTTCCAAACTCAATTGTCAATGCCGTGTATCTTGACTGCCATTTGCAAACATCAAAAGCATGTATTTTTTATTAAAAAATTGAAAGGTTGAGATTAATTTGTCTACCAAAACAAACGATTGAAGTATTTACTTTTCAATTAATTTTTTATTTCTTTTAAAAAAGGGGATCAATACTGGTTTCCCAATTCTCCTCGAGTGACTCGAATTCGGGACATGGTATACGCCGAACGAAGGTACACACCACTACGCTAACCCCTTTTCCTTTTAAATTATAGCTAGATAGTTTCTTTCACTTCTAATTAGCTTGTGACAAGATTATACTTAATTATTTTCCTTTTCATCCCTTTTCCTTCATGACAAACATTTTATCCTCTCCCTTTGATTGCACTTCAATACTCTTTTTTTATCATTTTTTATCAACACCAAAAATTCTATGAAGTCAATGGATGATTTTCTTATAGAGTCATCTATCACTTAATGTATTGACACCTATCGAAATTGTATTTGTTACAGGACACTTGTAAATACACTATTTGTGAGCAAGTGTAGATGATTCTATAAGTCGAGCCATCCGATAGTTCTATAGCAAAATTGTTATCCACACGTATTGCTCTTCAACCCTTTTATAGCATTTTCGTCAACATATTGAGAGATGTAATTGGATTGGAGTATCCAAACGGGGCCCAAAATCAACATTAAAGGCCCATTTACGAATTAAAAATTAGACAAAGCACATAAAAAAATGCTTTATTAACCTGCGAAATGATTGAAGATTCTAAATTTAATAACTTTTGGACCAGACACGATGAAAATATTCAAAAGAAGATCCATAGTTATCTCCAATTTTGACCCTTAAAACATATAAAATGATATCACAAAATTTGGCTAAATAAGAAATAAATATTAGATTAATTACAAGTTTGCAAACTAAAAAAAATAAAATAAAAAAATTACAAGTTTGCAAACTCACTGCACCACAATTAGCGGTTGAATAGACGGAAGTTGTGTCGGTGTCAATTGTCATCAAATTTGTGAGAATTATTAATCAATTAAATATTTTAATAAAACTTGTTTAGAAGACAAATTGTTAGATTAGAAATCTATATATACGTATCTTATTGCTCGACAGTTCAGATGGTTTAGATAATCGTACTTTAGACAATTATAATTTTTTCAATAAATTATTCATATTTTTTAATTTGGTATGGCAGATTAAAGACAACATAAACAAAAATATAATATTTGATAGAATAATTATGCAGTTTGTTAAAAAAAAA